AGAACCACAAAGCATTGATACACTTATGGAGGAATTAGAGCAGGAAACACAAGTAGTTGTGGAAGAGCAACCTGCTCAAGTAGAACAAGACCAGCGTAGGTCAAGCAGGATACGTCAACAACCTGAGAGATATGGATATCTCATAAGTGATCAGGGTGATGTATTACTCATGGATCAAGATGAGCTTGTGACTTACCAAGAGGCCATAACTGGTCCTGAGTCCGAGAAGTGGCTAGAAGCCATGAAATCTGAAATGGATTCCATGTACACAAACCAGGTTTGGACCTTGGTAGAGCCTCTTATAGGAGTTAACCATATAGGATGCAAGTGGGTCTTCAAAAAGAAGACTGACATGGATGGTAAGGTACATACCTATAAGGCAAGACTGGTTGCAAAAGGCTATAAACAAATTCATGGGGTTGACTACGATGAAACCTTTTCACCAATTGCAATGCTTAAATCTGTTCGGATTTTACTTGCTATCGCTGCATATCATGATTATGAAATATGGAAGATGGATGTCAAAACTGCTTTCCTTAATGGGAATCTTCTTGAGGATGTGTACATGACATAACCTGAAGGATTTGACATACCAGAAGAAGCCCAAAAGATATGTAAGTTACATCGATCAATTTATGGATTGAAGCAAGCTTCCAGAAGATGGAATCTTCGTTTTGATGAAACAATAAAACAATATGGATTCATCAAGAATGAAGATGAGCCTTGTGTCTACAAGAAGGTTAGTGGGAGCATGATCATATTTCTGGTATTATATGTAGATGACATATTACTCATTGGAAACGATGTCCCTACCATGCAACAAGTGAAGACTTGGTTAGGGAAATGCTTTTCAATGAAGGACCTAGGTGAAGCAGCCTATATATTAGGAATCAGGATCTATAGAGATGGGTCACAAAAACTGCTTGGCCTAAGTCAGAGTACATACATAGAAAAAGTGTTGAGACGCTTTAATATGCATGATTCCAAGAAAGGATTCATACCTATGCAACATGGCATGTGTCTGTCAAAAACACAATCCCCTTCAAGTAAGGAAGAAAGGGATCGCATGGATAAGATTCCATATGCATCTGCAATAGGATCTATCATGTATGCCATGCTATGTACTCGACCAGATGTCTCGTATTCTTTAAGTGCAACGAGTAGGTACCAGTCTAATCCCGGTGATGCTCATTGGGTAGCTGTCAAGAATATCCTTAAGTACTTGAGAAGGACTAAGGACTCATTCTTGATATATGGAGGTCAGGAAGAGCTTGCTGTAATTGGATACACCGATGCTAGCTTCCAGACAGATAAGGATGACTTTAGATCGCAATCTGGTTATGTGTTTTGTTTAAATGGTGGCGCTGTGAGCTGGAAAAGTTCAAAGCAAGATACAGTTGCTGATTCTACAACCGAGGCTGAGTATATTGCTGCCTCAACTGCAACAAAGGAAACTGTTTGGATCAAGAAGTTCATTATTGAACTTGGCATAGTCCATAGCATTATGGATCCCATTGATCTCTATTGTGATAACAATGGTGCTATCGCACAAGCTAAGGAGCCTAGATCGCACCAACGATCCAAACACATACTTAGGCGTTATCATCTCATTCGAGAGATAATCGATCGGGGAGATGTGAAAATATGCAGAGTACCTACACTTGACAATGTTGCTGACCCATTAACAAAGCCTCTTGCGCAGCTGAAGCATGATGGACATACTAGATCTATGGGTATTAGGGGTATGCCTGATTGGCTCTAGTGCTAGTGGGAGATTGTTGGTGTAAGCCCTAAAGGCCAATACTTTTGGTACTTGTATCGAATTATTTATTAATAATAAAAGGAATTTCTTTATTATGTTTGCTTTCCAAAATAATAAAGTCCCTAGAATGGTTTATTTGTTTAATGAAATGTTAAGTGTGACTTAATCATGAGATCCCATTAAACATAAGACACTATTCTTAAAGTATCTGTAGTCAAGTTTTAATGTGAAGTGGGATAACATTAAAGCATTAAGATTATTATGAAGATAGATTGATGATCACATCTCATGGATCATAGATAAGGAGTTATCAAGTCTTGACATAGGTATGAATATTAGGAGTAATATTTATACTGGATTGACCCGCTATGAGAATACTACATAGAATGTTATGCAAAGTGTCATAAGTTATTCTCATGATGATAATGGTGTATACCACCCTTCGACCTGAAACCACTATGGACCCTAGATGTAGAGTCAAGTACTTTATTGCTGATCAAACGTCATCCGTAACTGGATGACTATAAAGACGGTTGATGGGTACTTCACAAAGCATGCTAAGGGACATGAGTGACCTAGATGGAATTTGCTCATCCTGCATAACAGGATAAATGTCTAAGGGCCCAATATTGAACTGGACAAGGGTGACACAGTGTATGCCTTGTGTTCAATATAGACATGAGGGCAAAAGGGTAATTATACAACACAAATATTATCACGGAAAAGGTTTGGTCAGATCACATGACATTTTCGTGACTTGGGTAACAGTGATGTGTTGCTAGATACCGCTCACTGTTTATTATATTAAATATGTGATTTAATATAATTGCCAACGTCGCGAAAACCTACAGGGTCACACACATAAGGACAGGTTGATGAGAGATAGAATAAATAAGGAACACCGTAAGATATGGTGCACTTAAGTGTAATACAGAAAGTGGTAAGGTACCACGTGGATAAGTGATATATGGTACATCATAAGGTATGATGTCCATAAGCTTAATTGGGCTTTTAGATTATAGCCTTAATTGGGATTTTAGCTTGTAGCCCACACGAGTGATTCTATAAATAGATCCCTTGTGATGAAGCAATTTCACTTGATGCAATTTCGTTTTTGATTCTCTCTCTCACTCAAGGTTTCCGTTCGTGATCAGCTAGCACTGTGACCGGAAGCGATCCGTTCGTGTGGACTGAGTAGAGGCATTGTTCTTCATCAATGCTCGTGATCACAACATCAAAGGTCTGAATCGCCACAAGAGGTAAATATTTCTATCACTGACCATGTTCATTCATAAGGATCGCTAAAGGAAAATTTTAAAATTCCGCTGCGCTTTTGATCGCAATTTTCCTTCACAGAGAATGTACATCTGTTTTAAGGCATGCAAGGATAGCTTTTTCAAGTGCAGGTCTATAATAGGTTTAGATGGGTGCTTCTTGAAAGGTTACTATGGTGGACAGATTCTTGCTGCAATTGGGAGGGATCCTAATGATCAGATGATACCAATTGCATTTGCTGTTGTGGAGGGAGAAACAAAGATTCATGGAGTTGGTTCCTTGAATTGATATTTGACTTAAGAAGCACAAGGATATGAAAAACCTATACTTTCATAAGTGACCAACAAAAGGTACTAACTAACTTTATTCCATTAACACACATTAATTTTAGTCCTCTTACTGATGCATTCATATATCATTATTCATAGGGACTCTTACCAGCTCTAGAAGAATTGCTGCCCGAAGTGGATCAGAGGTTCTGTGTGAGGCATCTATACAGTAATTTTAGGAAGAAATTACCAGGTACTAAACTCAAGGATTTAATGTGGCAAGTTGCTACTGCTAGTTATACAAATGCATTTGAAAAATCCATGTTGGAGATGAAGGTTGTTAATGCGACTGCTTTCAAACATTTAATAAATCTGCCAACTAGATATTGGAGTAAGGCTTTCTTCAAGACATATCCTTTATGTGATGTCTTGGTAAACAACACGTCAGGAGCTTTCAACTCCGTGTTTGTCACTTCTAGGGTCAAGCCAGTAATAACAATGCTTAAATAAATCAAGGTATATCTCATGCTAAGGTGAGAGTCAAACAAGAAGAAAATTGCTAAATATGAAGGTGATGTTTTGTCCAATATCAGGAAAAAGATTGCAAAAGAATCCAATAAAACAAACAAATGGATTGTGAGGTATTTGTTGAACTACTTGTGTGTTGTGTAAATTATCCATTAAATTGTGTAACTGATCTGTTGATGTGTTCTTGCAGGCGTGCAGGTGAGTTTGATTATGAGGTGAGGCACATCTCAAATAATGGAGAAAAATATGTTGTGAATCTGTCCACCAAGAAGTGTTCTTGGAGGCTATAGATACTGACTGATTTACCATGTTGTCATGCAATATCTTGCATGAAATCATAATAACTGAATGTTGAAACATTTGTGTCTGATTGTTACAAAAAGCAGTGTATGAGGCATGTTATGCATATGTTATTTTTCCAATCAATGAAGAGAATTTGTGGGAGAAGAGAAACTATACTGAATTATAACCACCACCTATCAAGAGGCAGCCACGGAGGCCCAAAAAGAAGAGAACCAGAGACCAATCTAAAATTATCAGGGATGAGACTCAACTTAAGAGGGCAAACTTTGGCATTAAGTGCAGTAGATACCACATGATGGAACACAAAAAATCAACATGCAAACTGCCACCACCAATTCAACCTGAATAAGCTCAGACCACTCAACCTGAACCAATTCAACATGGTCCTAGCCAGTCTGAAGCAACTCAAACTGAAGCAACTCAGCCAGAGGAAACTACAACTTAAATTAGGCTTTGATGCCCTTATGTATATTAGTGTCAATGAACACAAAATTATCTTTCGTTTATGCTCTTTTGTTACTTTGTGTCAATGAACACGTGATTTGGCTTTTATGCCCTTTGTAGCTTTGTGTCAATGAACACATTATTAGACTTTTATGTCATTTTGTATTAGTGTCAAAGAACACATGGTTTTATAATGCAAATCCTTTGCCCTATTCTATTTGTGTCATGATTACATGTAACATTACATACCCTTATGTTTATATGCAACATATAACTGCAACATTATATGTCCTAATTTTTTCAAATGTTTCATTCAATAACATATAACAGAAGTAATTGTAAAAACACTGATATAACAAACCAAACTTTTCATTAAAGATTCATGAATCTTACATGCTATCACAATATTGACAACAACTCTATTTCAAATACAGGGTTACAAAGACTAAATTAAGCCCTAGACTAATTATGGTTAACACTATTGCATTCTTCAACAGTCCTCTTGTGCTTAGCACCTCATTATTCAACTTCAAAATTTTCTTCCTTTGCCTTTCAATCTTCAAATTCCTTCCATCAACAACTTCATCACCTACCCACTTGAAAAAATTGCATCCCTTCTCCAATTGATTCTTGTAATTTCTACAGCCCCAAAATTTTTCCCCAACATTGACACTATTCAGATCTGTAACAGTACGCATCACACACTCTTCTTGGCACCAACAATTCATCCTTTTGTTTCTCATCACCACATATCCAAATGACCCACCACTTTGGACGTTTGATTTTGAGAAATTATTGGAGTTTATTTACATCTTGACGCAAGCTTCGTAGAAATCATTTAAGTGAATAAAGATGAAGTAGAAGAAACGTTGCCCTAAACCGTGGGAAAAAGATAACGTGAACAATGTTGAAATATAAGACTGATGGATGAGAGGAATGAGGAAGGAGAACAAAATACCTTGCCCTAAACCGTGAAGCTGAAAAGGAATGAAGAAGACTGAAAAATAAATTATATAATGCAATATGTTGAATCACATATGAAATATAAGCCTTGCTGGCATGCCAAATCACTTAACTTAATATTTTCACACTAAATTTAACAGATTGGACCAACCTGTATAACGGAAGTTTCATTATGGTACTTAGTTATAACGTTTATTACATAAGGGATCAAACTGAAAATTTAAATTAAGTTATATGTCTTATTTTTATTAATTTTGTCTCTGATTTTATCTAAAAACTAACTATTAAATTAAAAAAATACAAAGAAAATAGGAGTTAAGTTCGAACGCGTGTCTGAACTCGCTAGAGTATAAAACCGACTCCTAATAATTATTAAAGTTAATGAAATACGGAATCTAAGCCATCTTCGAAGACTTGAAAGCTATGGATAGGGTCTAGAATTTTTCAAAATTCAATTTATAACTAAATAGAACCTTATTTTTTATGTTAATTTATGATTAAAAATTTATAGTTACTTTCAAAAACTTAATATTACTCTAATAAGTGTCACACTTAACATTGAGAATTTAATATGCAATAGAGATATATTTGCAAGTGATTATCATAAAGTATTCACAATTTTATAAAACAATTTCTTATTCTTGATGAGAGGATGGTCTAACTTTATGTGTGTTTGAATTGAGTATAAATATAATTGATTTTAATATAATCAAATTAATAAAATTGATTTTAATGGAATTGAGTTTAATAGAATTTATTTATATTTAAATATATTTATTTAAAAATAAATGAATAATAAATTTTAATATAAAAATTATTTATAATTAATTTTAAAAACAAAAATTATAAATTCTAATTTCAAATAAAATTAATTTTAAAAAAGAATCATTTCTACTTAAATAGAACCAAAATATTAAAGTTATTACAGATTCAATTCTACAAATAGTTTTACCCCTTTTATAATTGAAACCGAATATATACACAATATACTTCAAAAGTCATATCTTTAAATTATTATCGATTTTTTTCTTTCACTACATGAATTAGTTTTTGTCTTGCATGCTGATGACCATTCTCCCATCAGGTAGATTTGATGGTAAGCTTTATTATATTTAATAAATTTTAATAAAATATTATATAAAAAATATTATATTTTCTTTTCCATTTTTATGGTGAAATATCTTTTAATAAAAATATTGTATATATTTTCACTTTTTAATTATTAAAAATAACAAGGATTTACTTTTGAACATTATTTAAAATTTCATATTTAATTGTCTACTTTTGTACAACATATATTTCATGAAGCACTTTTATTTTACTAAAATAAAATCGCTAGTCAACTTTTATGAGTCACAAAATTAAAAAAAAAGAAGCTTCAATAGGTTTAAAAGTTCATTTAAAGTATGTGTTTTTACATTTTGTCTCTTTAAATTTTTTTACTAAAAGAATCATTTTTTGAAATTTTAATTTTTTATATCTTTTATAATTTAGCGATGATTTTTATAATTTATTGATTAAATTAACAACGATTTTAATAGAAAAGACAAAATATTAAAATTTTTAACAAATTTTTTTAAAAACATAAAAAATAAAAATATTAAATTTTAAAAAGACTTTGAATATATTTAACTAAAAAAAACATACAGAATTATATAACCAAATCTAAGCAAAAGTTTTGTAATGGTAAATAACATTATTAAAATAGTATACAAAACATAATGCATTATAAGAATTTATATATATGTGGGAAATATTAATTTTTGAATTTAGTTTATTTTATTTTCTGATAATTTTTTAAATAACTTTAATAAAGTTATGCTCCCCACTTGTAAAATGTTAAAAGTGTTCCCTAAACTAAATTACTATATTTGTGTTAGTAAAAAGGGTGTATCAACAGAAATTAATTTGTTTCTATCTCTTTTTATTTATAAACTGTTCCCATGTGTTTTATTCACAAGCATATTTCGTTTTTCTTTTCAAAGGTTCACGAGCATAATTATGATATGAAATATCTAAAAAAAAACATATCTTGTCAACCAAAAAAAAAAAGAAAAAGAATTGTCTAATAAAAAAACACATCTTTGATTTTAAAAAAAGAAGATTTCGGCGGCTAACAATCCCCCTAATCTTGCCACCAATTACTCCTAGAATCTTCAATTTTATAATTTTCAATAAATTAAAAATAAAAAATAAAAAATAAATAGAAGAATAACAATATAGTATAAACTATAGAGAGTACTAGAGACTCCAAAACAACATATACAGCCAGCATCAAACAAACCTATCTATATAGTTCAATTAATCTTTTCAACATTGCAATAATAATAATAATGATCTCACACTTGCAAAGCTTAAAAATCAAAATACAAATAATGGAAGGAACATAACCTAGAACTTCTTTTGTATATTGCTTAAAAAAATTTAAGAAGCTATATAGCTGCTACTAATTATATTTACGCATAATTCTAAAAGACTCAAAAGAACAAAAGAAAAAGCATTAAAAAAAAACATGGTTGAATTAATATGATTTGATGGTGGTGGTTTATGATGAAGATACCAAGATTCTCCATTTTCATGCATTAGCGTTGTATACTACTACTGCCAGAATCATTTGCTTTAAATAAAGTGTATTAAAATTATATGTACCATACGAATTACGAACCTACCTTGTTCTTTTTTTCTTCCATTTATATTTTGATGGTGTTCGTTCGTTAATCAGAAGAAGAACAATTAATCCATGATTCCACTGTAGTACCTTCTCCTCTTGTAGTTGTACCCACGACAACACATTCTTGTACTTTTTCAGCACCGAAATCATTGGTTCTCTGACTCCATTGATTCTCGGTGTTGTTGTTGGCTCCGTCTGAGGATGTTGTTGTTGTTGTAGTATTAGGAACCATGTTGTTGTTGTTGGTGTTGTGATGATGAAGAACACCAATGTTAACATTGTTGCTGTTGTTGTTAACATTGGCATGACTGAGACCTAGTTCATCAAAAACGGTACTCATTTTGATTCGTGAGTCAACATTGGGCGTGGTTTCCAAGGAGGGTTGTTGGGTCCCATGTGGATATTTTGTTGGTGTTTGAGAAATTGATTGAAAACCGAGAATCTGGTTGTGCTGCATGAGAGGAAGATTATTCTGCTGTGATAAATGGTAGTTAATGGAAGGTGAATTAGTTGAAGCTAAATTTTCCATCATGGAAGAAGAAGATGATTGGATCAATGGAGAAAAGGTTTGAATTTTTTGAGCGAAAGGACGAAGAAGATAAGGAGGTGGTGGTGGTTGAGGAGGGTCCATATGATTTGACATAGATCTTGAAGCAACAGAAGAACCAAAAAGATCCAGTCTTGTTCTTGGAAAAGGCGAAGAAAACGGTGGCGCTGGTATGCCAGTGAATTCCTGAACCATGGCTCTGAAATTTGTGGTATCAGTAGTGAGAACTGTGGTTGGTGCACGCCTTGAAGCTCTTGATCTTTTCTTCGGATTTCGACCCGGTTGGTGCACGTTGTTGTTGTTGTTGTTAATAAGATCCTGACGATCATTGGTGAGTGATCCTCCACGTGAAGTAGTTTCTAGTGGTAGAGAATGGTGTTGTTGGTGGTGATAGTGGTGTGTGGTGGGAACAGAAGCAACGTTTTCTCTATTTTGACCAACGAATTGACTCAACAAGAAGGCTTGTTGATTCTGATGAGAAGGTGATGATGAAGAAGATGAAGGTACTAACAAGCTGCTGAGATCAGTGTTGTTTGGTTCAGATCTAGCTGTGGCTTTGGACCAAATCATATCAAGGTTTAGAAAAGAGTTTGGGTTTGATGATGATGATGTTGATTGTTTGTGTAATGAATCCATGTAATAATTGGGTAATGGATCGAACATTTGGTTATGATGAAGGTTGTTTATAACTTGATTGTTCCTTGCTCCTGTTTGTGCTATTGTCTCTATTGTTGTTGTTGGTGGTGGTGTTGGTAATGGATGGTTTAAAAACGCAGAAAAATTTGATGATTCAGCGCGTGAATCATACTCTTCAATTTCATCACCACAGCTTGAAGATTGCATACTACCACTATTTCCGGAATCCATGATGAGGAAGATAGTATACAAGAGAGAGAAAGAGAGTGAATAGAGAGAAAAAGAGAGAGAAATTTGCTTTATCTTTTGCTTTTTTTGGTTTGGTTTGGTTTGGTTAGTGTTGGTGCTTACACAAACCACTACTACTACCCCTCCACTCCATGTATTTAAGTGGTGTGTTCGTACAGGGTCAGAGAATGAGGTATGGGACAAAAGAAAAAAACATGAGAAAGGGCTGTTTCTGGAGTAAGGTAATTATTATGAAAGAAAAAGATAGTTTTCTTTCTTCAGAATATTGTACTCATCATCATAATTCTCACACACACCCACGTTTTTTCATTCAAACATATCCCTCTCTCGGATCTGAACAAAAAAAATGCTTGCCTCACTTTTATTACTCAATTTGTGTTTCATATAACCAAAGCATAGATGTGTTTACGTAACTCTTGCAGTTAAGAGAAGATGTGTAAACACAAACTTACTCTGTTTGTTTGAGAGAGATATTAGGGTTTGTTATAGAAAGAGTGTGTGTGGAGGGGGTGTAGAAGAAGAAAAAGTGAAACCGTTTATGTTTTATGTGTCTATGTGTATGTTTGTGGTTGATTCATCTGGAAAAATATCAGAGTGGGGTAGACATATAGATATGAGTTGGTGGTGGTGAGTGGTGGTGATAGGTTTATGTATGGTCAAAGTTGTGGTTTTCATTGGCAGTATGAAATGGAGAAAAGATATACTAGTAGGAGTACTATATATGATGGAGGTTAATTATGTTAATTAATGGATCATTAATTTAATGAGATTTTTAATTTATTTAATTTACTATGAATAATGAGGTGGGCATGCAGTCAGATTGGAGTGATGGTTGTTGAGTTGCGTAAAGAGAACCACCCTATCTACCTTTTTTATACGCTTCAATAATTATAAACCAATTCGAATACTTGCATATTATATCTAGATGCTACCAACAAAATATAGATATCATATCTAGATTTAGACATCAAAATATTATTAGATAAAAATTACACATAAAAGAGGGTTAGTATTTTGAGTAAACTCGTCAAACCCTTTTAAACCGTCAATGATATTATTATTCATACCCCGAAAATTAAAATGAAGACATGAAGAATTTCCAAATATATAAGAAATATTTCAAATAGGTCCAATCTAAAAAATATATACTAGAAAATAATTATCAAAAGTTATAAGATAGTTTTTCTATTATTTAGCTTTTCTCTGAGTCAAAAATATAATTAAGTTTCTTGCGGTTACGATCTATCTATGCTAAATTGCTGTCAGTTCAACAACATCAAAGGTTGCTCCAACTATCCAAACTAATATGACCCCGCTTCGTTAATCATAGATAAATTACTTTTTTTTTTTTGGGTTAGAATATATATAATTTAGTAATCTTCAAGATAACCAACTTAATTTTTTTGGCTCAGATTAAAATGCATCAATAATATAATAATATATTTAAAAAAACTATGTGGTCTAAGGCTGTTGGTAGTATAGTTTAACGTTAAAAGTCATCTGAACTGCAAATGAAAAAAAATGTACAGTTTGATTTGATTTGGTTCAATTGATTTTTAGCAAAAATCAAATCAAATTTACAATTTGATTTAGTTTAGTTCGTTCGATTTTTTACAAATATTTTATTGAATCACACAATTATATATTGAATCACACACATATATAATCACTTTTGTATTTAATTATTCATACACTATTAAATAACAATAAAACTCATCATATTTGAACAACAACTTTCTATTTAACATGTAAAAATTAGATTGGACAAAAGTGAAATAATAAATATAAAATAATAGTATAAAATAATATCAAAAGTATTATAATGAAACCAAAAAAATACAAGAGACGAGAAATTAATAAAGAGGAAAAAGAAAAAACATAAGAGAGAAGATATTAGAGAATAAAATGTGCGATAAAAACGAAATTGAAAGCGAGAGGGAACATATACATAAAAATGAAAAGGTGAAAAAAAAATAATATAAGAAAGTAGAGATCAAAGAAGTAGAGGTAAGATGTATGTGGGAGCAAAACGCGATAATGTTATGAGAGATTTGAGAAAACTAGAACTGCAACTATAAATGTAAGAATGAAAAATTCTTTTTGTAATAATAAAGTTAATGTATAATAGGTTTAGGTTTTCGTTAGAAGTGAGTTAATAAAATTTTAGATTATAACATTAATGTGGTTTGATTCGGTTTGCAAAATACAAACTGCAAACTGAATAAATTGATCGTGTGATTTTGTTAAAAAATGACTCAAACACATTTAAATCAAATATATTTTTTTACGATTTTAATTTGCTTTAATTTAGTTTACGATTCTCTTAGATTTGTTCAGTTTTGATATTCATAGTATACAATATTTTAAACAATTAATGTATTAAAATTAATTAATTAATTTATGAAATATATATTTTTATTAGTATTATTTATGCATATGCGGTTCAAGAATGACAACTAAACTCAACTTCGGAAAGTAGGGGTTGGTTATTTTTTTTCTTCTTTTTAACTGGCTGGCAAAATTAGGAGTGTGTAAAAAATACGGTTCTTTAAATTATATCGTAAAATTGAATTGCATTACATAAAAAAATAATTAAAATCATAATTACATATTACAAACATTTTAGCTAATTTTAAATTTATATTAAAAACTGTTATTTAATTAATTGTTTTAACCAACATTATTTAAGAATATTTTTTAATAAAAAAATTAATAAATAAAATTAATAAATAAAATTGAAAATTAATTTGTTTGAAAAATACATTTTTCTCAACTAAAAAACTTTTAAAAAATTATTTTTTACTTTTTATACAAGGAAAAGATATTTATCTTATTTTTAAAAATATTATAAAATAATTCAAAATATAAAACAAACTAATTATAAACTAGTTTATAAATAAAAACTAATTTTAAACTGAACTGAAACCACTCTAACAGTTAACTGCTTATTTATTAAAATATTTATTAAAAATTGAATCAAATAATTAATGTGATTTGTTTCAGTGTAGTTTGTTAAACATGAACACCCCTAAGCCGATAAGATGTTCTTTGTAGGTGGATATTTTTAGGTATTTTGAGGAAAGAAAATCATTTGGAGAGAACGAGTGATTTTCTCAACTGCAGGTTGGATATTCTCCCCTTCAAATTTTTTAGCCTTTATCTGCACTACGTCAAACAAGACTTTAGACAGCGCTTTAAAGCGCTGTCTATTCCAGTACTGTAGTAGGTAAAGACAACACTTTGTTAAAAGTAAAAACGCTGCTAAATTCCCCCTTTAGGCAGCCCTTTTACTTTGAAAGCGCTGTTAAATGCCCCTTTTAACCAGCGCTTTTACTTTTAAAGCGCTGCTAAAGGCTCTCTTTAGCCAGCGCTTTTACTTTTAAAGCGCTGTTAAAGGCCCCCTTTAACCAGCGTTTTTTCTGAAACAAAAAAAAAATTAAAAATAAAAAGCCTCTTTAGGCAGCGCTTTTAATATTAAAGCGCTGTCTAAAGCCCCCTTTAGGCAGCGCTTTTTTTTAAAGCGCTGCTAAAGGCCCCATCTAGCCAGCGCTTTTTCTGAAACAAAAAATAAAAATAAAAAAAGAGCTCCTTTAGACAGCGGTTGTACAGTAAAAGCGCTGTCTAAAGGGAGCTTTAGACAGCATTTTTAAAGCGCTGTCTAATGTCCACGGAATTTTTTATATAACCTTTTTGAAGAAAAAAAAAGCGCTGTTTGATATATACAATTTTATATACACAGATTTTAACCATATTTGCACCAGGTTTTCACCATATTTTGCACCTGTATATACCATTACAAATTTCACCAGATTTTCACTAATATTGGAGCTTCAATCCAATAAAAAATAATACCAAAAGATACTATATATTTGCACCAATGTACTTATTAATACTATTACTCTTGTACATATATACTTTTACAAAAAAACACAACACAAAAACAACACTAAAACAACACCATTATATACCATTACAAAATCTTTTCATCTCTATCTTCTATATATGCACATATAACCTGAAACAACACCAAAATATCGTAATTCATACCATGATACAAACAAAATATATATAATTTACCATATGACAAACAACAACAAAATTGCAACACTTGAATATACTCAAAATTCTCATCAATTAAAGTAAGATTATAATATACCTTGTATAACTTTCGTCTCAATAATGTATTGACACCAATCGTCCTTAAGTTCATCCAACTGAAAACTTGAGTAATAAGCACAGTTGAATTCATCAAAGTACTACATAATAATATAACATAGTATGTTTAAGTTAAAACTATTTAATTATATGAGAAATATGTGTTAAATATTAAAATAACTCTAAGTTAGAAATCCATACCTTAGATGGAATCTCTATTCGATCTAAAAGAAGGATTTCTCTCATAAACTTCAACATGTAAAAACCACAATCTACTTCATTATGCTGCCGAGGACACTACAAATGAAAATAAAATATGGATAAGGCCTAAGTTTTATCAAGTATTATCACTATTAATAAAATCAAAATTGTGATAATTAATTAATATACCTCCACTATAATCCATGTAATGTTGTTGGATTTACTCTTTGATACTTGAATACCTCTTTGTTCTCGAAAAACTTGTATAATGCTAATAAAACATAAATGCATATTTAGAACAATTCAGATAAATAAATAAATAAATATACACACGAATATTTAGAACAATCTCACTTACGTATCAACCATATTCTTCATATCTTGGTATGTACTTGGATCATTGCATAAAGAATCCAGATAATATACAACTTCTCTGATAGGATTAATCGCGACCAACAACCAATGTCCACTGTAAGATTAAACAAATGTGAGATGAAAACTTTCTACACAACGTCAAAACATGAAAAATTAAAATAGATGAATTTAGAATGAAAAATCTAACCCGTTGCCGGTATTAAGCGGTAAAAAGAACAACTTTTCAGTATCTTTGTCGGCCATAAAGCGCT